GGTAGGGCCTTCACCGACCTGGTCGAGGACAAGGGTATCCTCCACAACCTCACCTGCCCCTACACTCTGCAGCAGAATGGCATGGCGGAGCGAGAGATGCGCACGGTCGTCGAAGCTGTGCGGACGATGCTGCTTCACATGGGGGTGAAGCATCACTCGTGGCACCTCGCCCTTCGCCACGCCGTCTGGGTGCGCAACTGCCTCGAACGGGCTTCACTTCCTCCGAGGACGACGCCGTACGAGCTGCTGTTCGAGAAGAAGCCGGATCTCACGCTGGCGCGCGTGTGGGGCTGCATGATGCAGTTCATGCTCCCGGAGCAGCAGCGCGGCGGAAAGTTGGCACCATAGGCACGCTGGGGAATTCACCTCGGTGTTTCGCCGGAGAGCAAGGGATGGGAGGTGCTAGACCTCACCGCCAACCGCATTGTCACAACCGTGGAGGCAATCTTCTGTGAGGCGATGTCTTTGGAGGAGTGGAAGGTGGAGCACGGGCCTGCGTCAGAGCGGACGAAGATTTCTCCGCCGACGAATCCGTCGCCAGCAGCGATTTCGTTACTCGAATCCGAGGACGATGGTCCTTTTGACGATCCCTCTCCCTCCATCCCGCCCTCATTGACACCTCCTCCTCCTCTTCCCACCTCCCTCCCATCGCTTCCCCCCGGCTTGCCTAAGTCGGCATCGACGTCGGCCGCCAGCGATGAGGGGAGCATTGGTGCGTCGCCTTCGGATCCGCCCATCGGCATCGCTGGCGGTCGACATGATCTGGTCAGCGAGCAAGTCGGCGTTGGAGTGAAGTCTCCGCCGACAGGGGAGCCGTCGAACAAGGAGCGCGTTTCAGAGGAGTGGGTGTCAGAGGAGACGCCAACAGGGGAGCGCGTTTCGAACGGGGAGCACGCTTCAGAGGAGCGGACGACAGGGGAGCAGTTCGAGGATGGCACATCGAGCGACGTTGTTGAAGACATCGGCGGCATTGATGGGGAGCTGTCGACCGGAGAGCAGTCCAGCGACAGCGATGTGGTGGAAATCTCGGCCGACAAGCCTGCAGTTCGATGTTCCACCCGCTCCAACTTTGGCAAGCCTCCAGAGAGGCTGAGCTACCATGCGTGCCTTCCGCCGATCTCCTACAGCACTCTGCTCGACGATGCACCGTCCGACGTCGACTTGCCCGAGCTCGACCCCGATATGCACGCTGACCCGGAGCACCGCTGGGACATCGCCAACATGACGGTGAAGGAGGCGTTGGCGAGCTGGAAGGGCAAGGCGGTGAAGGCCGCCATGGACGAGGAGATTCGAAGCCTAATCACAAACGGCACATGGGAGCTGGTCGAGCGTCCGCGCGGCGTCAATGTCATGAAGAACCGCTGGGTTCTGACGACGAAGTATCACATCGACGACACGGTCGCACGCGAAAAAGCCCGCTTGGTGGTGAAGGGCTTCACGCAGGTCTATGGAGCTGACTGCGACGAGACGTATGCACCGGTCGGGAGCTACGTTACGCTACGGATTTTCCTTAGCATCGTCGCCATCCTCGATCTGCACCTCATGCAGCTGGACATGAAGAATGCTTTTCTGCAGAGCAAGCTCGACCGCGTGCTCTACATGGACCAGCCGGCTTACTACAACGACGGAACCGGACGAGTCTGCAAGCTGCTGAAGAGCCTGTACGGGCTGAAGCAGAGCCCTCTGCTGTGGTACTCTGCGCTCGACTCTGTGCTGACTGGCGCTGGTTGGAGCAAGAGCCAGGTTTACGAGGCCCTCTATTTCCGAGTTGGCGACGACAGAATGGCGTGCTGGGTGCTCGTCTACGTCGACGACCTGCTCGCCGCCAGCAGCAGCACCGCGATGCTGAAGGAGCTGAAGGAGCTGCTGGAGGCCGCTTTTGAGCTGCGCGAGATCACCCCGGTCGAGAAGTATTTGGGGCTCGAAATCGTGCGCGACCGTCCGGCGCGAAAGCTGTGGTTGCACCAGCAGTCCTACATTGACAATCTGCGTAGGCGCTTCATCGACGAGGAGCAGACTGGTCGGCGTCCGAAGACGCCTTCTTCCGTTGATGCTTACGCGGAGCTGACTTTCGACGATGAGGACTTCCAGTCGCGCGAAGAGGAGGAGTACCGTCAGAAGGTCGGTTCGCTGCAGTTCGCTGCCACAACAACTCGGCCCGACATTGCTTTCGCGTGTAGCAAGCTGGGGTCTGGCCTGACGGTGAGGAGCGATCAGCACTGGCGCGAGGTCGATCGCTGCCTCACCTATCTTGCCGACACGCGCGATTTCGCTCTGGAGTTCGGAGGAGGACCCGAAACTCTGAAACTGGTTGGCTACGCGGACGCGGACGACGCCGGCGACAAGCAGAATCGCACTAGCACAAGTGGCTACGTTTTCACCTTCGGCGGCGCAGCTGTCTCCTGGACGAGCCAACGCATCAAGTGCGTGAATCTGTCCTCTACAGAGTCGGAGTACATCGCGGCCACCGAAGCAGGCAAAGAGGCTCGTCGACTTCGGTTCCTCCTCGCCGAGTTCCAGCTCCTTGATGCTGGGACGCCAACTGTTCTGAACGTGGACAATCAGTCCGCCATCGCTGTCGCTGAGGGCTTGGGGCTGAAGGGCAACCTCAAGCACATGGAGCGACGCTACGCCTGGCTGCAGCAGATGGTGAAACGCAAGAAGATTGCGCTGGAGTACATCCTGACATCCGAGCAGCCGGCGGACTTCCTTACGAAAGGGCTGCACTTTCCGGCCTTCAACCGGTGCTCTGTCGCGGTCGGTCAGGTTCGCCTTGCTGAAGTCGGCGACGACGACGACGTGCAGGAGTAGGTGCCATGTCCTCTAACATGGCTGGTGTGGTGATTGGCGTGCGGAGGTGTGCACGCCAGAGAAATATCCCCTTGTATTCTATTAAGTAGGTTTTGGGTGGACCTTGTGTGTGGGGGCCCAAGCTCGAGCTGGGCAGGGGAGTGTCAAGGAGAAAAGGCCCCGCCCTCGCTTGGGCGAAGTCGGCCATGCTTTTCGGAGCACAACGGTGTTCGTTTCGTGGTCATCGGCGACTTCAGTGACTTTTATCTCTGTTCGACGGGTCGATTTTCAAGAAGATTATGTCGTCAAAATTGAAGTGTTGTTTCTGCTCTACGCAACTGCCCGTCGACAAGGCACTTGTCGAGGGGAGCAAATCGGCGTAGAAATCGGGCCTTGCGGGTCGACGAAATTAAGCTCGAACGAGGCATCCTCGAGCAGAGAAAATGGCGTTTCGACGAAACGCTGGTCGACAGAATTAAGCTCGAACGAGGCATCGTCGAGCAGAGAAATTATGGTCGACCAAAATTACTTGTCTCCAAAAATCGCAATGTGCGCGAATTTCGACCAATCGCGAAACAGCAAATTTCGACCAATCAGAGCATTTCGGAAATTGTACTCCCCAGGAGATTTCGAATCAGTGAGGAAACTAAACATGAAACACGTTTTTACTAACAGTAAAAACGTAAACAACTCTGAACGTTGGAAACCTGAGAAGCTGCCAACTCAGGGGAAAGACACATATGCTTGTCGTTTCACCTGGCGTTGCTGACTCGGAAAGGTCGAGCGTTCGTCGAGGAACGTTTCTCCAGGGTTCATTGTGCTTGCTATTTGGGATCTCTTTCCTTGTACCATAATCTTGTTCTATCACTTTTCCTTAGTGAAACTATGCTCGAATTCTACTCAGTCATTCAAACACTCTGTCCCGAATCACTGCCAGAACTCGGACCGTGCGTCACACGCAATTCAGTTCTCCCTTAGAATAGAATTCTCCGCAGTGGGCTACCTCATGTACCTGATGACCTGCACTCGACCTGACCTTGCATACCCTCTTAGCATCCTGGCACGCTACGTTGCGCCCGGGAGACACCGACTAGAGCACTGGGAGGCCGCTAAGAGGGTGTTGCGCTACTTGTGCAGTACGTCGGGCATGAAGCTCGTGCTTGGAGGACAAGGTCCAGTTGTCCTCACTAGACACGCCGACGCTTCTTGGGTCGACGACCTGGCTATGCAGCGGTCGTCATAGGGTTACACCTTAAGCCTTGGCTCCGGCTCTGTTTCTTGGCGGTCTACCCGCTCGTCTTCTGTTCTCAGTTCCAGTTGTGAGGCTGAGATCTACGCAGGGGCCATGGCTGCACAGGAGTTATGCTTGCTCAGCTACCTGTTGACCGACTTGGGAGAGCGACCTCGTTCTCCTCCAGTTCTGTCCGTAGACAACAAGGCCATGATTGCCTCATGTCAGGAGCACAGACTGGAGCACAGAACGAAGCACATCGCTCTGCGTTACTTCCCTGCTTGAGAGTTGCAGTAGCGTGGATAGCTTCGTCTTGCTTACGTGGCCATTCGGGCCAACACTGCTGATATATTCACCAAGGCACTTCAGTCTGGTGATCATCACGTTTCTGTACCGCTTTAGGCCTTCTGCTTGCTTTGTCTCACTTGCTCACTGCGTGACTTTGCTTGTATTGTGATATATGTATATATATATGTAAATATATACCTGCATACTTACACTTGCTAGGTTGTGATCATTGTATTGCTTGCTCTCAGTTATATATAACTCTGCATGTGAACCGGCCTTGTGGCCATTTGCTTGTGCTCAGAGTGTGTGGTGACTTCGTGATCCACCCTAAGCTTGCGTTGCTTTGCTTGACTGGTCTTGTGATCCCTTGTTCTTCCCCACTTTGCCTATGGGGGTGTGTCAAACTGTTATATGTTGTATAGGCTGTAGTGGGGTAGCCCATATGGGGTACGGCACAAATTTGGGTTGGTACTTATATCACTTTCTCATTCAATGCATTCATTCCTGCTCGTTTGTTTCTGACACACCCTGGTGCGCGCTAGCCTTGCTGCACGTTACCTCTCATACCACATTCCCTCCATACCTATTTGCGCAACCCACCGCTTCTCTGCCCACCGCTTCCCCACCCACCGTTTCCCCACCCACCGTTTCTCCTCCCACCGTTTCCCCATCCACCAGTCCCCACTGGCCCTTAACACCGTTTCTCTTCCTCCAATTTCCTTTTATCCGTAACCCAAGCTGTCCCGTTCCTCATGTGCCATTCCTCCTCCTCTTCCTCTTCCTCTTCCTCCTCGTCCCCTCTCCCCTCTCCCCTCTCCCACCAGCACCGAGGCCCCATCGCCCCATCAAGCCAGGGACACCTGGGAGCAAGTTCACAGCCTGATGGACTTACGGCATGCCTCTTGCTTGGCTGCTCTGCTCTCCCCTGCTGCTACCGTGCAGTCTCTGGGAGAACCGGTGTATTGAGATCTCTTTTGCATGCTGCTGTCAACCTTGGTTGACCTGACCTTGGTCGTACTGCTCGCCAGCATGTTTCATTATACGGTATTGCTAATACTTGTGATTGTTTATGTTTTATCATGCTCTTTAGTGGGGGTGCCACCCTGGAAATCTCCACAGGATGTACCATGGTGTTCCCTGTTCAGGTGACTTTTGAGGTCACTCAACAATTTGCCTGAAGCGCGTGAGTGCTCGGCTTGCACAGCAGAGTGGCGCGACTGGAATCTAGATTCAGAAGTTTGGTACCGGTACCGTCTAAGCAGATAGACGTTCCACAGGGAGCATAAAGTAACAAGATACATTTCCAAAGAGCTAACAAGCAGCAGTCCTGCCACGTCTCCCCGGAAACCACCAAGGCATCGTGTGGAAAACCAAAGTCCCACCTTCAGCAAACATCCCACCAGAGATAACTTATAGACAGGCATAGCTGACATCCCACCTAGCTGACAACCAAACCCACATTCTCCTCGTCTCCCCAAAATAACTGACTCCATTTTTTTATCTCCTATCCAGCTTCTTCAGCTTCTACCCTCTTCCCCACCCCAATACTACCCAGTATTCCGTTTCGCATCCAGTTGTCACGACTGCTTGGCCTTCTTCTCAAGCGCCTTAGCCTTGGCGATCAGAGCCTTGGCCTGCTTCCTCAGCTTCTTTGCCTTCGCCTTTAGGGCCTTCTTGGCCTTCTTGGCCTTCTTCGCCTTCTTGGCCTGCTTCGCCTTCTTGGCCTTCCTGCATTTCTTCCCCTTCTTTCCCTTCTTGCATTTCTTCCCCTTCTTGCCCTTGTTCTTTTTCAGGCTCCGCCTATACTCCTCCACCGCCAGCGCAGCGTCTCCTGCTTCCCCGGGGGAGAGAAAGTCCTGCTCCGCCAGAACGCGAACAGCGCGCGCATGCGTAGACTCTCCGCCCTCCGCCACGAGAGCGCGGTTCGTTATAATCACATCCGCGTCCTCGCGCACGTCTCCTGTGAGAGCCTTACCCGTGGCGAGTACTAGGCCGTCATGCTCGGGATTTGCGGCGAGAGTGGCGAGCGCGGGGTTGAATTCCGCCGTCGCGGCGGGTACGTGCGCCGCGACGAGCACACAGAGCATCAGCAAAAAAACGCGAAGCGAAGCCATGGTTTTTATTCACTCAAATGGATTGGAGTAAATCAAATTTATTTGGATTGTAAATCTACAACTGATGTAAAAGTACGAAATTGCGCGGGACTAAATACTGCCGAGAGGTCAGCAGGGGGATAGTGTGCAAAGGCAACGGGAGGATTGCCGTTGAGGCTGTTGCCGCGACGCGGAATCTACCGCAAACAAGAGGAGATGTCGAAGCGCGTTACTTACGACCATCATTGGAGAGCCGTCAAGACGCAGAAATCTGGAGTGCGCGACGCTAGTTTTTGTGACACCGTTTCGCTTTTGTTGACAACAATTTTACAGTTTCGTATTTTCACGACAGCGATTTTGTCGAAATTTCTCACGAAAGTTTCGTCTCTGCCACGTGAGTGATCGCCAAAGAACCGTGAGAAGCTGGTTACCATCAGCCAATAATGGCAGGCACGAGGGACCGTGAAGGGCGCCGTTGCCCAGAATTCACCGCAATAATTCCATCAAACAGGTCAAGAAGTTGCACCGCGAGGTGCGGCAATTCAATAAATGGAATCAAATGCGGTGTGAGCGCGTACGCTATATCAGCCTTCCCCCGAACAGTCTTTGTGACATAATCCGTTGCCAGCATTCTGTTAGTTTTTTTTTCACACTGAAGTTTGTAGAAACTAGCATGATTGAGCTGTTCCATGTACGACCATATTTTCATGGCAGCACTTTGCCTGCCATGTTGTAAAGCTCCTGCGTCGTACAATTCGTTAGACTCGTATCCCTTCCTTCTCCCATGCAATTTGGAATGATGACCGAAACACTAAATGTAATAAAAATGAACGACTATATATATATGTATATATATATACCGTAAGTTGGTACCACATAGCTATGTATTGGCATGTGATATGCAGCAGCGCCAGAACTCATCACTGCCGCACTATTGGCAGCACTCAGCCCATGCACAGCGTATTCGCCCTCCCTCTCATTCCCTCTCCCTCTCACTCCCACACACTCCCTCACTCCCACTCCCTCATTCCAAACCAAACCGACCCATGCATCATTCACTCCCACCCCTCCTCCACCACTTTTGTTGGCGGCAGTACAGACTGTTGGGCTGAGAAAGCCCTTAGGATCGTTTTCAAGACTAAAGTCTCAGAGTAGTAAACTAATTGAACCACCTTGCACTGGTATGTGAGAACAAGATAAGTTAATAATAGCAAAGAGATACAAAGCTTTATATGATTACAAAGGAATATGAAAGGTTTAACTAACTGTAACTGCTGTTGCGGTTCGATGCAGCGACGACTCGGGTAACTGCTCAATAGCGAGTCCGCTATGTGTCCTTGCTGTCGCGCTGCTTTTCGACGAGTCAAAGGTCGCTGACCTTTGACCTTCACTTTACTTCTTGGTGTTGTCTTTCTGTCAACCGCTTTGGTTGACTCGATGTTACTTCGCTGTAGTTCGCTTCGCTTACGTTGTAATGCTCGACACATCAGAAGCGCGAACCATATGTTTCCAACACTCCCCTTCGCTTCTTGAGTGTCATCGCCATCGTTGCTGGTGACGTGGCCTTGTCCAGTCAGCAGCATGCAGTACTCGAACATCTGCTTTCGGAGTTTCTGGGTCAAGTAAGCTGTTGCCATCTCGGATGTGGAGCAGTAGGATATCTCGAGTCTTCCTTTCTCGATCTCGTCCTTCACGAATAAATAGCGCAGGGCAATGTGCTTCGTTCGGTTCGCGAACTCGCTCTTGTTCGCTATGCGAATTGCAGATTGGTTGTCGTAGAAGAGGGAGAAGCTGGGTAATTGGGCCAGCTTTGCTTCTCCCAGTAGCTCGCGAAAGTACAGCCCTTCCTTAGTGGCTGAGCAGAGTGCTATGTATTCAGCTTCAGCAGAGGAGAGAGCAATTAGTTCTTGCTTGCTCGACTGCCACGAGATAGGACCGACGGGCTCAAGTCGATAGATGTAACTGGTGCGCGATCGACTGTTGTCAGAGTCGCCTGCGTGGTCAGCGTCCACATAGCCGATTAGTTTTGGCGTTGTGGTTCCGGTTTTGCGGTAGGTTATGCCGATCGTTGGTGTGCTGACGAGGTAGTGTAGTGCGCGGTCGAGTTCGGCCATGTGCTCTACTTCGGGCCGCTTGAGGTAGGTAGCAAGCTGGCCCGCTGAATACGACAGGTCCGATCGGCAGGTAACGGCTGCAAAGAGCAGACATCCCAGTTTTCGTTGGTAGTCACGTAGGCCGGCAGGTCCGAGCGGATTAGTTTTTTCCTTGTGATTTCCTACGGTGTAGCGGTAGGACGTGAAGATGACGGCTGGTGATAATCCAAAGCGTTTGGCGATTGTGTCGGCGTTGTTAGAATGAACAATGGTGATTGCACTAGGAAAGAGTTGGGTACAAGTAGGAAACCCTAAACTTACTGTACCCCATAGTAACTACCCCACTACAGCCTAAACAAACTGTAGCAGATATAACATTTGACACACCCTCATAGGCAAAGTGGGGGAGAGCAAGGGGTCACAAGACCAGTCAAGAAAGGCAAAGCAAGCTCAAGGTGGATCACAACGTCACCACACACTCTGAGCACAAGCAAAGGGCCAGTCCACACGCAGAGGCATATATGCAACACAAACAGCATAGTGATCTCTACCTAGCAAAGCAAGCATGCAGGAATATATATATACATATAGAGATCACAGTACAAGCAAAGCCTACAGCAAGTGAGGAAAAGTGGGCACAAGCCCAAGCATAGTGCAGAAATGCTGATGATCACCAGACTGAAGTGCCTTGGTGAATATATCAGCAGTGTTGGCCCGAGTGGCCACGTAACGCAGACGAAGCTGACCACGCTGCTGCAACTCTCGAGCCAGGAAGTAACGCAGAGCGATGTGCTTCGTTCTGTGCTCCAGTCTGTGCTCCTCACACAAGGCAATGGTAGCCTTGTTGTCGACGTACAGCACTGGAGGAGAACGAGGCCGCTCTCCCAAGTCAGTCAGCAGGTAGGTGAGCCAGCGTAACTCCTGTGCAGCCATGGCTGTGGCGTAGATCTCAGCCTCACAACTGGAGCTGAGAACTGAAGACGAACGTGTAGAACGCCAAGAAACTGAACCAGAGCCAAGGCTGAAGGTGTAACCCTGTGACGACCGCTGAGTAGCCTGGTCGTCAACCCAAGAAGCGTCTGAGTGCCCAGTGAGGACAACTGAGCTCCTCCCTCCAAGCACGAGTCCCATGCCTGATGTACTGCACAAGTAGCGCAGTACCCTCTTAGCAGCATCCATGTGCACCTTTCGGTGCCGACCAGGAGCCACGTAGCGAGCCAGAAGGCCAAGAGGGTACGCGAGGTTAGGACGAGTGCAAGTCATCAGGTACATGAGACAGCCAACTAGCTCTGGGTAAGGACCACTCGGCTCTACGGACTCGTCCGAAGGTGGAGCTGAGAGCGAGTGACCTGTAGCCAGAGGAGTGGCCTGTGCCGAGGACCAGGTGAAGCCGAAGCGCTGAAGGACCTGCTGCACCATGTGTGACTGAGTCAGTGTGATGGTGCGGCGTGCTCTGTCCCGGGTGATCTGCAAGCCAAGGTAGCTGCGCAGTTCACCCAGGTCTGTGCACGTGTGTCTCTTCTGCAGCTCCGACTTCACCAGGGCGAGAGCCTCAGTGTCAGCAGTGGCAAAGACCAAGTCGTCGACGTACACGAGGATGTAGAACGGCGGCAGCGAAGTGTCGGTGCGCAAAAACAGCGACGGGTCAGCAGTAGAAGGCGCGAACCCAAGAGCCGCAAGTGTAGTCCTCAGTGTGTCGTGCCACTCACGTGGCGCCTGGCGGAGACCGTAGACCGGCCGCCGGAGGCTCCACTGGGTACCAGGAGGGAACGACCCAGTGAAGCCAGGAGGGCGGCGCAGCCAGATCTCCTCGTGCAGGCTGCCCTGCAAGAAAGCTGTGCTGAAGTCAAGAGAGTGAAGCTCGTAGTCACGCTGAGCGGCAACATGCAGTAGCACCCGAAGAGTGGTCATCTTCGGGGTGGGGGAGAAGGTCTGGAAGAAGTCTACTCCCTCTCGTTGACTGAAGCCTCGAGCAACGTAACGAGCCTTGAAGACAGGCGGAGAACCTGGCGGCCGCTTGACCCTGAAAATCCACATGCCACTGACGATGTTCGCCCCAGGAGGGGGAACCTCGTCGACGTAAGTGCCAGTGGACTTCCAGGATGCCATCTCTGCGTCCATGGCTGACTGCCACTGAGAGGAGTACTCACCCGCAATCGCCTCAGCGTAAGAGCGCGGGGTCGGGATGTCTGGTGCATCCGGGTCTCCCTCAGGTGCAATCAGCATGGACACGAGATGAGGTACAGCGGCGGCAAAGCACTCAAACTCCTCCTGCCTGTCCTCAAGGACGTCCGTGCCAAGAGCACACTCACCCCCGACGGACGGAGGACAGACAGACTCAGACTCAGACTCAGCAACAAGACTCGCAGCGTAGTCTAGACGACAGTGAGCAGCAAAGTCGACAAGCTCAGCAACTAAGGCAGACGCAGCAGCTGACTCAAAGGAAGGGTCAGTGACAGCAGTGGCCAGGAGACGCGTGACAGTAGGACTAGCAGCACGAAGAGAGTCAGACTCCGGGTCAGCAAGGGCAGGAAGAGAGGACGCAGGAGGAGAAGGCAGCGGGACACGCTGTGGAGCAGTGGAAGGACGAAGCGCCATCTGGTGAGTGCCTGGGACAGCAGGAGGACGCTGACGCGGGACACGACGACCAGTGCGAGCAGCACGATCAGGTGACGCAGACCGAGACTCAGGCGACACAGGATGAGACTCAGGCTCACGACGCTCCGTAAGACCGCCTGTCGGACCAGTGTAGGGAAAAGGACCAGGGAGTGGCGAGGCAGGCGAAAGCTGTGACAGCGACTGGACAGGCGGAGGACACTCTAAGGAGGGAGCAGGACAAGGAGGAGGCGGCTGACCAAGAACCTGCTGAAGGAGGGGAACAAAGTACGGCTGTGGCCGTGA